ACATTTACCAGTAATATTCTGAACAAAAGGGATTTTTAAACGGTACTAGAGCTATAGCACCACATATGTAAGCATACCTGTTTTCTGTTATGCAGAAGTGTTGCAGAACTATGCAACTGAGCAATATCCTGTTTAAGGCAGAGCATGAAGCTCAGAGGAACACATGTACTGGCATGCTGCTCTGTTCCTGCTTCCTCAATGATTTCAAGAGCTGGTGTAATTAGCACATACTCTGCACATCCTCTGCTATCAGAATGTCTGCCAGAGAAACTCAATAGATCATTCTAATTTTAAAAGTTGTTATGCTTTAGTAATTTCCTCGCACCCCACCTTAACAGCTCTGGTATGTTACTCCATAGATTAATTGGGTTGCCAGTGCCTCAGGATAGAATGGCCACTCATATTTCCAGGAAGGTTTATAACACATAGTCTCCAGGCACAGGCTGAAAATGGGAAATGGCGACATGCACAAGTAATGACATATGCTACTTTTAAGCTTTCCTTTTTTGCAATCATATGATCGACTTTGACTTGCTTTTTTCTGCTCATTGAAAGAGCAAAATAAAAATCTTCTGGTACCAGCAACCCTAAATCACTAACTAGTTGTACACATATCTATATATCACCATGCCATGACTTTATTGTTTTTTGTAGGGGAAAAATAGTCAAAATATGTGGAACACTGATAAATCAGTTTGATTCAATGAGCTATGTGTTGAAACACCTGAGGCTGCGGACTCCATGAAGAGAGGCATGAAGTGACTGCTGAAATGTCTTGCTGGAGAAGTTATTGGACATCAAATTGATTCAACACAGTCATATACATAACATAAAAAGGACGTGGCACAACCGCACATAGACAAAAGCAGCTATTAAAAAACAATAGTGAAAAAGCCATAAATTCACATTAAATAAAAACAAAGCATTTACTTTTGAGTCTCCTGTTAAAAGAGAAAAAGCAACCAAAGAGCTAGCATTTCTCAAAATAAATCATAAACCTTGCCTTAAAGTCTCCAGAGGAGAATATTCTGGATGAATTCCAGAGATCATTTAAATAATAATTGCTCAAACGCTGTTGTGTGGACTAAAATAGTGAGCTGGCAAAACAGTTGGATGACCTATGTGTGTGAGATAGGGTTGGGGTGGAGTGGTGGCCCAGGGAGTGGTTGTATCCACTTTACAGAAATAGTTGATGTCATTTCAGTTGAATATCAAAGTGACAATGTATGATCAGAAGGGGATTTTGTGCTCCAGTAGCTAAATATTCTATAGTTGGAGCAGGCTGGGCATGACAAAGGGCGTAAATTCTTTTTATAATCCTCCATATCTGTGCTGTTCATCTATTGGAAGAACAGAAGTAGCCTTCACAGTACAATCACAGCATAAAGTGTTCTCAGTGAAAAAATGTCAACTGTCATTTTCAAACCATCATCCCCTTAAGCCAAACTAAGAACACATATATAACATATATATATATATATATATATATACACACCTTTGTTGAGTCTGACTAAAGCCGAGATATCGCTGTTAGGGGTGATTATAAAAAAGGTAAGATATGTTATGTACACATATTGTTTTTTCTCTGTGTGCAGATGGCCTGCTGTAATGAGATCCCAGGGGCATGGCACGCACAGGGGACATGTGTTTACTGTGTGTCTATATGAGGAAAAAGAGCATGAATTATATTGATATATGAGTTCATGTTAGTCTGTTGTTGGCAACTATACATGACCGGCATCTAAAGAAATAACTACATGAGAAGCTTAATAAGTGACAGTAAATGCTCTTTTCTGCTGGATGCGTGCATGTTGTAGTTGAATGTGTGCGTCATGGGGCAGGGGGGAGGGGGACAGCAGCAAACAGAGAAGAAAGAGTAGGGAGGGTGTTAGGAACAATGAGTGGTGTGAATGTACAACTTATCTGAAATGCAACTGGGTGTTAAATTGGCTTTGATGTTCTGGTCAGGTATAATGTGTTGTGTGTGTTAGTTGCCAGTTTGCCTCTGTAGGGGGAAAATACCAATCATCATAGATGAAACTGTTTAAATACGACTCATGTGCTCTCACAGAACTGACTGTTTACTGTCCGACCCAGACAGGAGCAAATTGTTCAGATATGACTTGATATAACACATGTACCCTTAAATGCTTATTATTCACTGTTCACAGTATATCTTATCCTATAGAAAGATTTGGCTTTGATGACTAGATTCTGGAGCCAATAAATAGCTATGTACATTTCTGTACAGGGAACGTTGTACGATTCAGGTGCGGTCATGCCAGGGACACTCTCATTTCCGGAAGTTCGATTTCTCCTTTTTAACAAATTTCTGTTCTTTATTTTCTCAGACAGAAGACTCTTATATAAAAAAAAACCACAACACCTCAAAAAGATATTGCTGTGTGTCAAGAATTATCATTTTTTAACCTTTATCCACTGGCTTGATTATGATATTGGGCTTTTTGTGAGTTGTTGAAAAGCCTTGGGTCCCAGGACCGGGACACGCACTGCACCCCCCCGATGGTGGAGGAAGTGCCAGGCCATGAGTATTCAGTCGGTGTAGGAGGATTTTTCTGTGCCCTCGAAGCTAATGCAGACCATCCACCATGTATTCCCCACTTATTCCCTCTAACAAACCCCGCAAATCATAATGTAAAATAAATTCTTGGAATTAACACAGCTCTGTGTTGGTACAATAAACACCTGTGTTCTGCTCTTACATTCCCAAGAGTTGTCTAAATGACTTCTGTCTTTTAGGGGCAGTGTTGGGGTTCATTTGTGAACCTTTAATCCAACCCCATGACCTTTTAGGTTTAATTTTTTCCAGAATGGGCCAGTAATCCTGAGGTCAAGGTTGGTTTAGTGGTAGTCATAATTGTATTAAAGTTATTTTAAATATTACATATCAGGTTTACAGTAGAAATGAGTCGATGTCAGTGAATGGCAGGACAGTGGAGACCTGGATGGGATTAGACTTGAGAAATTTTCTAGGAAGGTCCTAGAGTACCCTCTGCTGGACAGACTTTGGTGGCATTCTTTAAAGTCATCTGCTTGTGTGCAGATTGTGTGAAATCTTAAAAGTTGGAACATAAATAATCCTGTAAACGTGTGTCTGGGGTGGCAATCCTTGAAAGTGAGTTGGATATTAAAGTGACAGGCCTACAGCTTGAAGTCTGCAGCATGCAGGTGGGTTTGGTCTTATAGTGACCTATGTGGGCATTTCTTTCTCATAAAGCAAATGTAAAGTACAATTTTTTTAATGAAATTTTATCAATATTTTCTGCACATTTTTACTATAGACAAAAAAAAAAAGGAAATATTATAAATTCAAAGGTTTTCCTTTTTTATCACAAAGTTTTGACTAAATTAAAGTGAGAAATATGTGAATCAAATATGATACGTAAGACATTGAATGGTTTAGGTCTTTTATCTGTTTATTATTGCAACATTTAAGACTGGCTGAAAGCAGATCTGTTCTATCTTACGTAATATTGGACAATTCCTATTAGTTTTTTTCAAACCCGGGAATATCTGCAGCAAAATAATGGCAGCATCAGGATGACTCATCAATACATTATGTTGGTCTGGCTCCAATGCTGAAAACACTGTAAAAAACCTGTACTTTACATATTTTACGGTATTAAAACCATTTAGTTTAAAGAAAATTGTGGGTGTCTCATACCACATAGACCAGAGACCTGAAAAATTTGGAAATATTTCCCTTCTCCTTAATAGATTTAGAAAAAAACAGGGAACACTAAACAGTTTTTCAGTGCAAAAGCTTGAGGAGCTCCCAAGAACAGCAGATGTTTGACAGAGTGAAGGTAAAATCCCCCTAGTTTACCCATCCTTCAGGAGTCCCTGAAGCCCATTCTCATGGCTTATACATGCTTTATTTCCCCTCCTCAGTACAATTGTTCATTCCCGTACTGTTATGGCCTCTTCTTTGTCCACCTCCTCCTTTCTACAAAATAATTTCCAGCTACATCATGAGCAGAAGAACCTGAAGTGAAAATATACCAATCTACCCTCAGATTTACCTTTCTCTTCTAAATGGAGCAGTATGAAAGCAGTCATTTCTTAGTCTTTCAGCTTTTTTCGGAGAAGACACAGAATCCCTAAGCCCTCCACATATAAACAACACAAATGTTGGAAAAGGGGGGCAGCCAGGCAAGTTACGAGTTTTGTTGTGATGACTAATTAGTTTTAAAATGATTCACCACCCAACGCAGTCAGAGTATTTTCCAGAAGGCATTCACAACACTAATCTAAAAAAGGCATCCCATCTCATTTACAAAAGGTATGAGTGACATTTGGTTTAGGTCTGTGAGGCTTGGAGTGGATCCCTTTTTACCAAAGGTAAAAGGTGACAAAGGCTACAGGACCTAAGGTCTGTTTCACAAAGCAGTGTCAACATGACCTATAATCTCCACTTGGCCCAAAAAAAGAGTTAAATAGAATTACGTGAAGCTTCCACCAGCAGTGAGGGGTGAAGGAGGTTTACAGCAGGTGGATTTTGGTTTGAGTTTGTATGTCAAAGTATCACATTGCCACTAAACATTGCTGTCATAAAATGAGGCCTAAGCACTGGAGGAGGACAGAGGTCTGAGGTCTTATGATGAGAGAGAAAGATGTGAGGCTTTCACTGAGTTGTGGATGAAAGATGCTCTGAGTGTTATTTGGTTCTGACATGAACAGGCCAGCTCGCTTTTCATGCAGAGTTCAGTGGAATGTGATAAGTGAGTGTTGATGTTGACCTTGAAGATGTGTATCTCATCATATTTCAGATCG